GAAGCAAGCGTGTTGAAAACATTCCTTTTTTCACAATATTTCATACAATTACATCATCGCAACAAATGGATAAATAATTAGTAGCAGCCTCGTAGATCGCCAATAGCAATTAAACGGTTAAACATTAACGTGCTTAACATTCGAGTGGCGAAATTACCTCTCGTACTAATAACAATTTTCAAGTTTCGAACTAAACCCAGTAATCTCGCGCATGTTAGTCAACTTTTGCTGATTCGCAAGTCCGCAAAGTTCCGTGAAAAATTGCTGCGTGTCGTTCGCGAGCGCGGCTTGTTATTCGGAATGATCGTGGAAGATCCGGAGGATCGAGGGGAGCCAGGGTCATTAATCATCGGTCGGCCGACGATCTAGGAGGGCCGGCCGAAAATGGCGGTCTATGCGTCGAATTGCAGAAACTACGGAGCCCGGATCCTTCCGCGATTGGCCGACTCGTCCTTGGCTTTTCGCAAGGGTCGAACGACGTCGTTCCCGCGTACTCCCCGAGTAGCGTCGCCATCCTGTGACGAGCTTTCGAAGCTCGGTCAGAAGCTTTCGGGGACCGCGCTTGCGCTCCTCGAGGCTCTGTTCCGTCCGCAACCGCCCACGCACCACCTCGCCTCTCGTAGAATGATATTCAACAAGCCGCCGCTTTTTCCCTCGGGTTTCGCGTCCAGGGGTTGGTAACCCCGCGACGGGGTCGCGATTTTATCGGCTGCGGAGGAATTGGACCAGCGGCTTGCGGAAAATCTCGCGAGCGCTCTGCTCGCCGTGAGGGGTGGTTCGGGGGGTGGCTTTCGTTTAACCGAGCTGGGATGAGTTTAAAGGATTTTTCTAAGGGGCTCGAATATGGAATTTATTAATCGCTGCGAATTTCTCTCGTTGCTACGAGAATTTGTCGTTAATCATTCGTTGCGATAAAATGGCGCAATTTCTCCCAAATTCGCGCTCAGATTGCGCACAAAAATGGACAATTTGGGAAGAGAAGATACGATTATTCGAGCGTTGAGTATTGTTTTTAGAGTCGCTGACAATCGGTTACTATAATGATCCGCGAGGCTCGAGTAATTTGTATATCTCTTCTAATATCTCTTCTACTCAAAGTGTCTATTTTTGTGCGAAATCCGAGGCTCGAATTAGAAAGAAATTACTTATTATAATTATATTAACACTATGCTGGTGCCATGCAAAAACTATCTGTTGTATGCCGGTGGTACCACTTTGGTGCCATTTTAAAAAACTGAAATAACATTTGAACTATATTTCTTGGGTGTTAAAAGGCAGCAAACTAACTATAGCATTGTGCTTATTTAACTAAGAATTAAGTGGGAAAATTCTTGGATGACTTATCTTAATTTTAGGAATTTATATTACCGTCATCTTCGAAATTTTATCTAAAATCTAAAATTTCCAAGCTATTATGCCGGCGTCAAATAAAAGAATCGTATCTAAGATCTGCGGACGGAATAGTGTTAATATGAATAATAATTATTATTATAATCGTTCATTGTGCAGAATAGCACATATATCGTGCAATGTTAAATCAGGTGCGACGTTTGGGAAGTAGAAGAACATAACGCAATATGTTTCGTCTCGTTGGATGTATTAATTCGTCAAATTTTATTCTATACTTGTTGAAATTATAAAGATGCTTTCGCCGGATATCGAACTATTCATTCGAACAGACATTCATACAAAAATTGCAAGAATTCTAAGTACGATAAATTCAATCTTGCCATCTTTATAAGGCAACGCGCACCGCTCAGTTTTAGCTTCCGGCACGGCCGGTGTTCAAAATAGTCGCTTACATTATTATCTGTCATATGACTTACGCTCTTTTTCCCCATCTACCGTGAGTTATCGTACGTCAAAGTTTATTATAATAATATAATCGATGTTGATATGTTACAAAGAATGAGAAAAATACACGTTCTTTGCGCGCGCTCGATTGAACCATCGCTCTAAGTCTTAAAAAACGCATACAAATTGCGAACAAATCGCAGATCCTTTACAAAGAAAAAACTTCTTGCTTGTCTCATGTCAAATGCCTAAGTCCTTCGTTCCAACAGAAAATTCCACGGTGCAGTCGCATAAATAAAAGCAGCAATAAAGACGAGATCTCAAATTCATTTTACACTCGTAACACGTCACGTTCGCTTCGATCGCTCGAATTCGCCTGTTTCCAATCGTTGCGTAACGTTGGAGGCCACGTTTTCAACTCTTTATCTGAAGAATCTCTCGACGATGGTTCGAAGGTAACACGGTCTTCGGGCGATGGCGCGCATTTCACGCATCCGGCGCGGGTTCACACGAGTTCCCGGATCTCTTGCGGGTCGAGCATCAGTCTCTTCGGGGTGCGTTCCCACAGGACGGTCGAAAAGTCACGCAATCCGTATCCCGATCTATCTGCAACCGTTTCCAATACAGTTTACGCGACGTTTCGACCATCCGGTGGTTCATCGTCCGCTTCCGCCGCTTAATTATGGCGTCCAGAGGTTTTGATTCCGTTGCTCCGCTCGGTGTCGGAGGTCGCACGATGCACACGTGCCCCTTTCAGAAAGACAAAGGCCACCGCCGACGAGAACCGTGCATCTCTAGTAGCGGCTCGTTCCACCGAAATACGTGTCGCAGTCCCTGAAACGAGGATACAACATCCGCTCGAACGGCAACGCGAGCTTTCATTCATAAAATTCATGAACACTCTGCGCAAGTTCGACCGACATACCGCGGACTTTCCTTTGACAGGAGGTGGCTCGTCGTTCCCCTCGCATACCATCAGCTTCTTGCCCCTTCGTTGGCTCGTTACTCGGAGTTCGTGGTTCACTAAACTCGAGTAAACACTGTACTGTGGTTAGGATCTTACAAATTAGTGTTCCAAACTATTCCGTAATGCTTCTTGTTCTCGACGATGTACTTCGCGTTCTATGTATAGTAATCGGTAGACTGCGCGGGTCTGTGTGTACAGTACTATACTTCCTGCATCGATCGCAGGGAGTAGGAATCAAGTAGAACTTCCTTTCTTTCTTTAACGAGAGCAGTAAGTTGGAAATAATTTGAACATTTTCATTTTTATTTCAACGAGCGCTCGTGTTTCTCGTGTGCGCATAAAAACCGCAGTCTATCGACTTGTCAAGAAGCAAATTGAGTACAATTTCGTTTCATCGTATTGAAAATTTTCTCTTTATAATATATGCACACTATTATATCTTACTAGCGCATTTAATATGAAAGTAATCACCGGACTGCGGATCTTAATGCGAAATAAAAATCGTTAAAGTTAATTATAAGGAACATAAATAAAAGGGAAATGTGTTTCCGCTTTTAATAATTGTAAAAGATTGAAAATAATGCAAGTATCCTTGAATTCCTTTAACGTCTTTGCAGTTTTGTATTTGATCTGTAATTTCTCTCGTGAACGCGTAAAATCCGCGGTCTAGTGATCACCAATAATCGAAGTTTCAGATACATTCGAGAACTCCATGCACCTAAACTCAAATACTATAATACATCGAAGAACTCCACGATCATATTGCGCATTGTCTCGCGCATAATCTTTCCAGGTCGCACTAAAATCGCCGATACAAACGCGTTTATAAATTCAACGAATGCGCGCGCTATTGAATAGAAACAGGTTGACGCGTCTGATCGTGACATAGCAATTCTATCTTTTTAAAGTGCATGCAGTAAATTCTCTTTCAGCTTGTAAACAGAGATAGACAATTTTGGAAGAGGAGACACGATTGTTCGAGCCTTGTACCTCGTTTTAATAATCGATGACAATCGGCGACTATAAAAATGAGCCGCGAGGCTTGAATAATCGTAATCTTCTCTTCCCAAATTATCCCTTTTTGTTGACAAACAGAAGAAAAATTGTTCGTCCGATTGCTAAACACATTTTCTCGGAAACGAAGCCTCGGATGAACAAATTCTACTATTGTCCACTGATTTTGACGAGATCACTCGTTATTAAGAAAGGAAATAGAAACCGGACAGCTCAAAGGAAATCTTCATCGATCAATCGACAATTTATCTTATCAATTGCCGATCAAATCCGTTCCCAGTAAACTGTCATACATACATGAAATCAATGTCGGCGACTTCAAATTCGAACACAACAATTTCACGAAATACTTGTCACGGTGGAGCACCGAACGAAAACAGAACCAGATGCGGCCATCGATTTTCGAGAAAGAGGAGCCCTTAGCAACCGAGCAACAGCTCTATAGGTCAAAGCACTTGGCGACCAGGTCTGGCACCGGCGAAGCCTGTGTCAATGATTCCAATGTATGTACCCCGAACCGTCTACCGTTTACCAAATCGGTCCTTGACACGTTCACGACCACTGTCACGCGTGTGTAACATCAATGAACTCGACGTAAAAATGCATCGATCGATTCTCGATTACCCATTGTCCCCTGAAGTCGCAGCATTAGGCGATTAAGCATGAAGTGCGCGGATCTTACAGTAAAATTATACCAGATCGAAACGAAAGCACTTCATAATTAATGACCCAACACACAGCACAACGTCCACGAAGCCGACGACTGGAGGCTTTTGCCGCGGATTCTTTCAATATTTCGCAGCAGAGACGTCCTTTCCGCGACGAGGACAGACAACGAAAGAAGCGATGGTCGCTTCTCGGTGCGACCAATCGACCTTCGGTAAGAGTGACACCTCGCCAGCCAGTGGGCAACAAGCCGCTGCTGCACCGCGAAGCCAGAGCAGACCCGGCATGGTACCCGAAGCCACCCCGTGCAACTTTCACCGTCCCTTTCCCTTTCAGCCGGTCGTAGGATGATCGAGGAGGGTTGGCAATCGGTGCGGACCGACAGCGTCTGGCCGCAGCTCGTTCCTTGCTGGCCCCGTCCGTCGACCACGTGCGCGCAAGCGTCTCGGTGACGCAACACGTATATGCAACGGCGACGGCGTGACGTAACGCGACGCCGCCTCGCCGCCTCGCCGCGGCGGCCTGACCGAGGACGACGTTATCGAGTGGAGGTTAGGACGACGGCCGGCTGCGCTTGCGTGCGCGTCCTCGTTTCCATCCGTACGTCGGTCGTGTTTCAGCAACGCACGTACACAAAGGCTCGTCGGTCGGCTCGCCACGATTTCTCGTCGCGAGCGGAGAGTTTCCCCCGGACTCGGCTCGGCTCGGCTCCGCTCAGCTTCTCGCGCGGCCGCTCGCAGGGAAAGTCGGCGACGTCGACGTACCTCGTCCAGGTGTCAGCCACCCCCGTCGCTCACGTGACGGCCGGAGAGCGCCGGCGACGAGCAAGTCCGAGCACCGGGATCCTCGCGACGCGGAGGATCGCGGGAGACGCGCGCGCGGCCCAAATCCGCTCCGAGTCCGGCGATTTCGGCGAACACGGCCCGTGGGGTTGCCGTGTGGGAGACCGTGGGTGGAGACCGTGTGTGATCGATAGCGGACCGGAGCAACCGTCGCGCCGACGGACCTGCCGAGAGCCGAAGGTGAGTCGAACCACCGCACCGGGCCCTAGCCTCCCGACTCTTCCGCTTCCGCTTGCCAACACGCGACAATCTCTGCTGTCGAGCGGGTCCCGCGCGCGACCTCCCGACCGCCGAGCTGCCGCTTTCACCTGCCCTCTCGCCACGGGGGTCGAACCCCGCGCATGGGGGTTGCATGCCCTCGCAACGCTTCTCTCCTCGCTGATTCGGGGATGCGCGCCGCATCCGCCGCGTCGCCGAGCGCGCCTCTCTCTCTCTCTCTCTCTCTCTTTTTTTCTCTGTCTCTCTTTCTACGCGAAACTTTCGATCCGAGCGGACCCCGATGTCCGTGGAGGGGCAGTTTCGGGACAACGGCAGCCTAATTGCTGTCGCGGCCCGTGTCGACCCAGCCTCCCGTGTGTTGATGTTTTTCGGACGGTGCGGTAGGGCTAGGCCGGATGTAGGTCAGTGGTCGTGGCGGCGCGCCCGACACTTTCGCCCTACCCCCGAGGGCTGCAGCGGGCTTGGATCCGCGCTGATCCACGGAATTACCAAGCGAGAACGCCTGTCCCCTTTTCGGACAGAGTTTTTGCCGGCCCGATCACCAGCGGACAGGGAGAGTGAAGTGCTCGGGACCAGCCCGGTTTCGTGATTGATTCGGATGGCTGGCTCGAGGTACACAATTAGATTAGATGTTGCGTTCTCTTTCTCGCAGTTTTCAAGTGCCTGATGAACATTCGTTCGAACACGTTGAACGCCGCGTTGCCCGGATATGGGTGACGGCTATGCTATCGCAGTCTTCGTGCAATTAAAGCAGGATTTTCGAGGTGATTTTTAGTCGTTTTGTTTGTCGCGCAACTGTGACGAGCAGAGACGATATGGGGTAACAATAACAGATAAAGTAAACGAAAATAAATATTAAGAATATACTTATACTGATAATAAAATAAAGTAATAAAATATGAAATATACTTGTACCAATAAATTATACTTATATTTAACACGTTCCGTGCCGAGCTTTTTTTACTCGAATCTTCACACTTTGATATTTTACTAAAACTTGATGTATTACGTGCAATTATTAATTCTCGTACACATAACAACGTAACAAAAACTTATCAACGCCCATTCTTGCGGTGGAAATTGATTCTTCGGTTCTAAATTTCTTGTAAACAATTTGTTCAGTTCACTAAGTAAACATGCAAGCGTGTACCATCGATGGTACACGTGGCACGGAACGTGTTAAATTTGTTTTAAAAATATTGTAACATTTGATTAGTTACGATGGAATTCGTTGAAACATTGTAAACATAATTTTAGGGTGACTCTGGACACTCAGGACAATATATTATGGTCTTTTGTAAATTTTATTTTGCTTCGTGGCTCCGTGAGAAATTCTACCGATGGGCGTTCAACGTGTTAACGACATTCGTGCGGACAGTTCCTCTAGTTTCCAATTGGAAATCGTTCGTCGCGGTTATAAGACTCGAGTCCTTTGCTATCGCTTCGATTCTGCCAGCATTTCCCGACAGTTCAACCAGTTTTCGGATTCTTTATCGAAACGCTCTCGCTCGCGCTGTTTCGAAACGGTGTTCGCCGTGTTGCGAATTGGTTTCTTGCCTCGTAAATTGGTTTCTCGCCTTGTAAATTTGTTTCTTGTCTTGTAAATCGGTATCCAATCGACCGAGATAGCAGCCAGTAAGTCAGCTTGCACGACGCGTGTTAAAGAACGGCGCGTTCGAAACAGGAACTGCATCGAACGATGTAAAGAAAAAAAAAGTTCTCTCGTGCGATCGAAACGTCTATAGCCATTCGAGGAACAAAATCGTCGATTCGTTGGTCACTCTACACAACCTTGACATTCCGTTTCGTTCCTGAAGTCGCGGTTCGGCAATCCGTAGCACGGCACCGCGGCGTCTTCGTTCCGCAAGCGGAAGCCGCACTCGAGAGTCAACAGACAAGAAACTTCCTCGACTGCGGCGCAAGGTAAACATCCGCGTTCAACAAGCAGTTCCCACGATCTCGATTTCCATTCGACGGGGATCCTCCGCGCTCGCGGCGAGACCGCGAGGAGACCGGGGACAGAAGCTTCTTGCGCCTCAAAATGGCGCGGGCGAAAGCGTCGACGCGACGACGATTGACGTCAGAAGCTTTACTCGCCGGCCCGAGAGCGCAACTTGGGAATAGAATATCGCGCGGCGCGGACGGTAAATTGCCGCGATTCGACGCGGCGCGACTTTTTCAATAAATAATTGTCGTCGCGCGGCGACCTTGAACGGCCTAGCCGAGACCCGGCAGGAATTTCAAGATGGAGGTCGGACTAACCTTTCGCGCGGTGGCATTTAATCGATATCGAACCGCGGTTTCAAAGTCGTGGACTCGGTGCATTCCCAGGCGGGGGTAAACGCGACGCGAAGGAAAACGCCCGGAGAAACGACCGTCTCGGTCCCGGCGAAACTTTTCGCGCGCGATGTAAATTCCGCGGCCGATTGCGCAACCGGCGCGTCACGGTTCGCCAATGAGTCACCGATCGCACGACGATCGGCGCTAATTAAGCGATTCGGCCGGTCGCGATTATCGCGGAGGTTTGTGCAACCGCGCGAAACGCCGCGCCGGCTCGCGACACGCACCCGGTCACGTGCGCGGAATGTTATTTCGCGGTTTTACATAAGATCGCGGGCTCTCCGTTTCTCGCCGTGCCGCGGCTGTCATTGGGAAACCCGAAGCGGCAGTAATTATCACGCGTGGAAATTGCGACGAGACCTCTGTATACCGGTTTCTGCGGCCGATCGCGGCGGCAATGAACGCTTATCTGCCATTATCCGCGGATGCCGGTCGCCGCGTGAACCTTAAATACTAGAGAATGTTTTAATACTGGAATAAGTTGCGATCGCGACTGTATTATGAACTGCTATTCGCTGCGATGTACAGTAATGTCTCTGACTGACGCTCACATTGCGCACAAAAATGGACAATTTGGGAAGAGAAGATACGATTATTCCAGCTTTGTACCTCGTTTTTATAATTGTTGGCAATTGATAACCATAACAAACGAGCCACAATTTTCGAATAATCGTATCTCCTCTTCCCAAATTGTTCATTTTTGTGGACAGTCTGAGCGTCAATTAGAGAGACATTACTGTACTTGACATACCGTTTTCGTTCATTCTGATCGTAATATAGTCTTCTATTAGTTATCCTTCGTGACAGTGCAGTGGGCGATCTTTGGACGATCAATCTTTAAATATGAGCCTTGCAGAATTATTCACAGAATTATTCTTTTCTGATTCATTCGATTTTCTCGAATTGACGCTGCATAGCCCTCGACTTAAAATAGAGGACACTTTCGAACGAATTGAACAATTCAAGTCGCTTTCGGAATAGTAAAAATGGAATTGTAAGATGATATAAAAGGCACGCATAACAAAACTTCATTTTCATTGTAATATCACGCTTGGAACGTAAATGACAGGGTTGGAGAATGCAGAATTATTCACAGAAATATTCTTTTCTGATTTATTCGATTTTCTCGAATTGACGCTGCATAGCCCTCGACTTAAAATAGAGGACACTTTCGAACGAATTGAACAATTCAAGTCGCTTTCGGAATAGTAAAAATGGAATTGTAAGATGATATAAAAGACACGCATAACAAAACTTCATTTTCATTGTAATATCATGCTTGGAACGTAAATGACAGGGTTGGAGAATGCAGAATTACTCACAGAATTATTCTTTTCTGATTCATTCGATTTTCTCGAATTGACGCTGCATAGCCCTCGACTTAAAATAGAGGACACTTTCGAACGAAATGAACAATTCAAGTCGCTTTCGGAATAGTAAAAATGGAATTGTAAGATGATATAAAAGACACGCATAACAAAACTTCATTTTCATTGTAATATCATGCTTGGAACGTAAATGACAGGGTTGGAGAATGCAGAATTACTCACAGAATTATTCTTTTCTGATTCATTCGATTTTCTCGAATTGACGCTGCATAGCCCTCGACTTAAAATAGAGGACACTTTCGAACGAATTGAACGATTCAAGTCGCTTTCGGAATAGTAAAAATGGAATTGTAAGATGATATAAAAGGCACGCATAACAAAACTTCATTTTCATTGTAATATCACGCTTGGAACATAAATGACAGGCTTGGAGAATGCAGAATTGCTCACAGAATTATTCTTTTCTGGTTCATTCTATTTCCTCGAATTGACGCTGCATAGCCCTCGACTTAAAATAGAGGACACTTTCGAACGAATTGAACGATTCAAGTCGCGTTTCGACTAGCAAAAGTGGAATTACAAGATGATATAAAAGGCACGCATAACAAAACTTCATTTTCAATGTAATATCACGCTTGGAACGTAAATGGCAGGGCTACATTCTCCCGAAGATCGTTTCACGATAGCTTTTTTATTCATGCTGCATCGATCACGTTGAATTGTTCTAACTCTTTCTTATATCATGTTACATGTTTCTATCGAACTTGTCTGTTATTAAGGAAAGTACGATCATCTAGCTGCTTACATCGAGGAAATACAAGTCGAAGTAACTGAAAAATTGAAGCTTCGCTCGATGCAGAGTTCATGCGCCTCGTAAAATGAAGGTACTAAAACACGGAGCAATTAACCGCTAATCGGTAGACAGCGGATCTTCATGCAGAATACAAGTTGCCTACCTAGACTGCAATGAGCAGAAGTCGAATAAAAATTGTGTTTCCTCCGTCGATAGAATTAATAAGTTAAAGGTAACATAACAGTACAATAAATTCTCTCCAATTGTCCCTCGGCTTGCGAACAAAAAATGGACGATTTGAGAAGAGAAGATGAGATTATTCGAGACTCGCGCTCTTTTTTATAGCTATTGACGACTGTATAGAAATCGGCGACTATAAAAACGAGCCGCGAGGCTCGAATAATCGCATCTGCTCTTCCGAAATTGTCCATTTTTGCCTACAAACTGAGGGACAATTGGTGAGAATTTACTGTATTTTTAATTATACTGTTTTCATTGCT